ACCCAACTGAGTGAGATATGAGGATGTTTAGGAAGAAGACTCAGAAGTCAAAGTTAACCATGCAGTGACAGATAACATTGTTTCTTTGGTTTTTGTGGGTTTAAAATGCTTTATTTTGGAAAAAATATATATTATTGATAGATTGTGGCAATAAATGCAAAACATGCCCAAAATACATATAGTGCAAAGAATAAAACACTTGAAGATAGCAAGTGTTAAATTTGTTGAACAAATAATAAGGGCTCTAATATAAACAGAAAGAAAAAAATATTTTAAAACAGAAGTATTTATTATAATACTATTCTCATTTTGCTAAGCAGTCATATCACGTTTTTATTACCTGCTTTTATTAATACAAGAATCTTTTTTTGTTCATTTAGTCTGTTTCTGTATAACACATAGTATCTACTTTTGTAGAGTAGATTTTGTGGTACGTGCATGTTAAAAAGAGTTACTAACTGCAACGTCTTATGCTGGATGAGTGGATGATATCATTATGTCATAGCTAACAAATTATATTAAAGAATAACCAATGATGTCATAATACCACTGGATGAGAAAGGATACACATTTTCTTGCATGATTGAAGCACATTCTTTCCGAGTTGAATCCAGTTCATGCTTGAATATAGATTTACAGAAGTCAATTGAAAACTATAGAACTATATTGTGACTTAATACAAGTAATTGTGTGAGTGTCTACATAAGTTCAAACATATTTATATTTACTTTACTTTGAAAGTTAAGACTGTGTTCAACGTTTTATCAAATGTATCTAGTCTCCTTGTATAACTTAGTGTGTATTATTTGACGTATTTTTAAGTTACCCTTTGTTCCAAACAGTTTTCCACAAACTAAACAAGTATAAGGTTTCTCACCAGTATGTTTTCTTTGGTGTATTTTCAATAAATTGTTTGTTCCATGTTGTTTTCCACAACTATAAAGTCCATAAGGTTGTTAAAGGAATTGATAGGGTTCATGTACATTTCTTCCATATTTATTGGTAAGACTAGGAAACACAAATATAAATTTAAGCCAAGACAGATATGTTTTTTAGTAAGGGTGGTTTGACTCTGGAACACATTTCTATTAAATGTGATAGGTGCTGTTAATTTAAGGGAGTTAAATTGATAGGGTTCATGCATAATATTTTTTCCATATTTATTGATAAGACTAATAAAGTTAAAGTATAGACTCCCTATGCTGTGCTAACCACTCGTATCAAAACCAGATTTTCCCCATTTTAAGACCTCAGACTTACTGCTGAATACACAGTTTTAAGTAATAGTTACTTAAGAATTATTCCCACAAACTCCACAACTGTAAGGTTTCAACCCAGTTTGTGATATTTAATGGTTTTTGTTACATGTTGATACAAACTGTTTTGCACAGTATACAACTGTATGGTTTTGAAATCACTGGTGTACATTCTTCGACATATTTTTAATGCAGCTTTTATTACAAATTGTTTTTTACACTCTTTACAACTATAAGGTTTCTCACCAGTGTGAATTATTTGATGTATTTTTAGTTCATTGTTTTCCACAAACTCCACAACTGTAAGGTTTTTTTGCAGTGCATCTTTTTTTATGTGTTTTTAATTCACTGTTTGTTCCAAACTGCTCTCCACAATTGTAAGGTTTTTCACCAGTGTGTGTTCTTTGATGATATTTTAAGCTAGCATTGAATATAAATTGTTTTCCACACACTGTACAACTGTAAGGTTTCTCACCAGTATGTATTCTTTGATGTGTTTTTAAGTCACTTTTTCTTCCAAATTGTTTTTCACAATATGTACAACTGTAAGGTTTCTCACCAGTATGTATTCTTTGATGTGTTTTTAATGCACTATTTGTTTTAAACTGTTTTGCACAAACTCCACAACTGTAAGGTTTCTCACCAGTGTGTGTTCTTTTATGTATTGTTAATGAACTGCTTGTTATAAACTGTTTTTCACATACTCCACAACTATAAAATTTTTCCCCAGTGTGTATACTTTGATGTGCTTTTAAGACACTTTTTGTAACAAACCGTCTTCCACATACTGTACAACTGTAAGGCTTCTCCCCAGTGTGTTTACTTTGATGTGTTTCTAATTCACCACTTGTACCAAACCTTCTCCCACACACTGTACAATTGTAAGGTTTCTCCCCAGTATGTATTTTACAATGTCTTTTTAGATCACCACTTGTTACAAACTGTTTTCCACAAACTGTACAACTGTAAGGCTTCTCACCAGTGTGTCTTCTTTGATGTGTTTTTAATTTACAGTTTGTTCCAAAATGTTTTTTACAAACTCCACAATTGTAAGGTTTTTCCCCAGTGTGTCTTCTTTGATGTATTTTTAATTCACTTTTTGTTCCAAACTGTTTTCCACAAATTCCACAACTGTAAGGTTTTTCTCCAGTGTGTCTTCTTTGATGTTTTTTTAAATCACTTTTTGTACCAAACTGTTTTTCACACACTGTACAACTGTAAGGTTTCTCACCAGTGTGTGTTATTTGATGTCTTTTTAATTCACTTTTCGTTCCAAACTGTTTTCCACAAACTACACAACTGTAAGGTTTTTCACCAGTGTGTCTTCTTTCATGCACTTTTAACTCACTATTTGTACCAAACTGTTTTTCGCAATGTGTACAACTATAAGGTTTCTCACCAGTATGAATTCTTTGATGTCTTTTTAATTCACTATTTGTACCAAACTGTTTTTTACAATCTGTACAACTGTAAGGTTTCTCACCTGTGTGATTTACTTGATGTCTTTTTAATTCACTGTTTGTTATAAACTGTTTTTCACACACTGTACAACTGTAAGGTTTCTCCCCAGTATGTATTCTTTCATGTACTTTTAATTCCCCCTTTGTTCCAAATTCTTTTCCACACACTGTACAACTGTAAGGTTTCTCATTATTGTGTCTTCTTTGATGCATTTTTAAGCAACTATTTGTACCAAACTGTTTTCCACACACTGTACAACTGTAAGGTTTCTCCCCAGTGTGTCTTCTATGATGTATTTTTAAGTGACTATTCCTATCAAACTGTTTTTTACAAACTGTACAATGATATGGTTTCTCTCCATAGTGTATCCTCTTTTGTTGTGTTAGGTTATCAAATGCTCTTCCATAACTGTATAGTTTATCATCACACTGATGTATATTAAATGTTGTTAGGTTATTTCCACTTAACTTTGTTTCTCCACTAATATTGTTGTTTAGGGATTTTACTTCTTCTGTAAAGTGATCTTCTTGTTTTATAACATAACCAGTAAACTGACTTCCACAACAGATGTTCACACTGGTCTTTAAATCTAAAATAGATATTAATGATGTCACAAATTAGTTAATAATAAATATATAATACAATACTTTATTTGAAGAGCATCTAAATATATTTTAATGTTCTAATATAATCAACACAAATATCAATATTAAATATAAAACTAAGTTTAACATTCTATAACAACTTTTCTATCTAGATCAGAATAGCACTGAAAACATAAACTGTTGGTAACGTGCCACATTGAAGAAAGGTTTTTAGAAGATGAAGTCTAAAACCACCTGTAGAAATATGATAGTACAGTGTAACATCAACCAACGTTACTTTCAGGCAGTACATTTCTGGATTAACTGTTAGTGGTTGATTATCATGAAATCTAATGATTTGTCTACTTTAACAAGTTAATTAACATCAATACTTTATAGTCACTGTTCAAGAGTTGTATACGTGGTAAAATAAATATCTCAAAATGCCAAGATTTAGACTAAACCAAAATGTTTATCTATATATTATTTATTAAGTTTAGGTATCATTCCTGTGATTAGAAGCTTTTTGATTACTGACTTCAATATGTTAAATTAAGAGATTGAAGATTTGGAATTATTCAATTCTTAAGATTCTATAGACTGGTAGTGTTCAGGATAATTACATCTGTGGTAATAAATGACAGCAGTACATTCTCTGAACATGAAGAACCATAAAATATAACAAACACTGGTCAGTTAGAAAGTTTCTTAATGTTTCGTTTTATAGAAACAGTTACTGTTCTCCCCATTCATTTTGAGACAAACTTAATCTTAACATTATTTAAATGTTTTGTTGTCATTTTATCACATTAAAACTTTCACACAATAATTCCCAAGTAGGAATAACAAAACACAAACCAAACACAGATCTATAAACTTCAAATTAATCCTGGCTAATATGGTTCAATAACTTTTTAAAGATCAACAAGAATTCAAACAATTTTTTTGACTCTCTCGCTATGGTTAGGTCAAAGTGCATGTCACAACTTTTTAGAGTTATTTACATTCAAAACTTAAATAAACTATTTTATTATCATTGTACATAAAAACTTGACTTCAAAACATAGTTAATGAATCCAACTGTAATATTTTTAAAAAATCTTCAATCTTCTCTGGTATGAGATCTGCAACATTTGTTCACTAGGTCTTCTTTAATATATTGTTACGACAGCGGAAGTCACGTCATGCTGCTGGCACGTTTGGCGCTAGTAGCGTACGTGAAAATTCTCGAATGATCATGTTAATATATAAACCTGGCAGAAAAGCCAGCAATATATAGATAATTAAAGAAGCAAACAGTAGTGACGGTAAGTAAAGTGTGTGAATCACTGTGACTTGTAGCGTGAATTATAAAAGTTTTTAAGTTTAAAGTGTGAGAAATTACAGCAATTGTTGGAGGAAAAAGAAAATAAACAAGAAGAGAGACTACAGCAGTCATTGGAGGAGAAAGAAAATGAACAAGGATAGAGAATACAGCAGTGGCAACAAAACCAGCACCAGTGGCAACTGGAACAAGAAAAGAAACAAGAAGTACAAAT